TGCAATGCTATTTTGTGGTGCGAAATAATCGGAGGAAACGAGGAAAACTTGGGAATTTCCCGTACTCCTGAAATATCTTCGAGCGGGTTCGCAAGGGAAAGACGCCCTGAGGGCCGCGAGGATTTAGGACTATCCCGAAACACGCAGCTGGCTGCTGGGTCGGCTTTGAAAGCCAGGTCCAACACGTTCGGGAGCTAGCAAAGCGATTAATGGGGAGCCCCTTTGGCTGTCTTGCCCCGCCCCCTCCGCTTGTCCACGACCGTCCCCTCTTACTGAATCATCCACCCGCCCTGAGCACCAAGTAAATGCTTAGAACTTGATGGGTTGGGGAGGAATTTTGCAGCGCTCCGGAGCCCCTGGAGAGGTTCTTTAATGGAGAGACGGGGTTTACGGCCTCTACTACCAGAAAGTGAAACTCGGCAGAGAGAGAATGTACTGACCCCTGGGCCCATCTAAGCCGGTGTAAAGTAACTGGGTTTAGGGTCTGATGGAGGAGCAAGGAACCCTTGGCGTCCTAAGCACCGGGAGGATTAGAGGGTGTACAAACACCCGCGCGCTACAAATGAACTGACAAACTCAGCGGCACTGCGCCAGGGCAAGGAGCCCGCGAAAAAGGACTGAGAGGTTTGCCAGCTCCAGGCCTCTATCCCTCTTCCTGGGTGGGAGTGGGAAGAGGTTCAAAAGGCCTCCTCCCCACCAACGCAACCTCTGCACGGCCTCCAGGTACCCAGATGCAGGTACGCCGACGCCCGAGACAAGCCGGCGCCGGCGCGCGGCCTGGCGCCCTCGGGCCTCACACCCCCTCCTGGCCACTTCGCTCTCCATTCTGGGCTGGCTACTTACTGGCTGGGGGCGGGGAGAAGCGGGGACTCTGCATCCACGGGGTTCGGTCTGGCTTCTCGGGGCTCTCGGCCTTCACCAGAGCATCTTCTGGCAGCTTGAGGAGTCCCCCAACTGAGAAATGGCCGAGAGGTCGCGGCGAGGAGGGCGCATCCGGGGCGCCCAGAGACCCGGGTCGGGTGCCCAAGTGCTGCAAGGAGCCACCCGCTGCCTGAGCCCCCTCGGAGGCCACCAGGACGCTCTCCTTGGCCCCCGGCTTCCTGTGATCAGCCATGAGGGCCTCCACGCTGAAGGGTAGGAGAGAAGCGGGCACTTTGGGCTTAGCCCCCTCCTCATCTGTGCCCATGGTGCTCGCCGTGGCCGCAGCAGCGCCTGGGGCTTGACCAGCGCCTCCCCCTGCAGGCTTGCCGAAGGCGGAGTCCTCCACTTTGACACCGAGTGGCAAAGAAGTCATAGCAGCAGCCGGGGCCATGCAGAGCCGGACCCCCACTCCAGCCGCAGCTCGGGCCCGCCCTGGAGCATGGGTTTCGGGCTGGCTCGGAGCGCGGCCGGCTTCTGCGAGCTCCCGGGACCCTGGCCCCGGCCGATCCTCCCGTGTGAGCCTCCCGCGGCTCCCCTAAGGGCCAGCTCGGTCGAGCTGGGCCTGGATCCCTGCGCCGCGCAGGCCGAGTTCCCGGGCTCACTCGCCGGCTCCGGGTCCGCCGCCGCTCCCCTGAGAACTTGTTAATAAGGCAAGGCCAGAGCGGCAGCAGCCAATCAGCGCGCGAGGGGGCGGGCCCGGAGAGAACCATTGGACCGCGCTCCTGTCCCAAGGCGCGCCAGGGCTGGGGGAGCTCTGGGCAGAACCGAGCCGGAGGTACCTGGGGAGCCTTTCCGCCAGACTTAGCCCGGTGGGCATCTGTCAGGCTGGGTTCCCCAAAGACGTTCCAGAGGAACGTTCCTCTATTAGCACTTCTCTTCTGCCCCGTCTTCCTCCATCGTCCCTTACCCGCTTTCTCCTTTCACTCCAAAGCCTACTTTCTTTCCTCTGCCGTTTCTCTCACAGTCCGTTGCTATTTATTTCTGGTCCCCTTCCCTTCTCGGCCCCCATTTTCTACCACAAAGATTTTATTTCAGTTTACGTACAAATTCTTTTTGCATTTGTTTTGGTGGAGCATAGTTATTTGTCATAGTAGAAAGGGATAGTACTAATTTCTTCTTAAAAAAATCACTCTAATTGTCTTGTGTCTTTCAATCTTAAAAAGTTTATCTAGGGGTCAAAGTGGGCCTTTGTTTCTAAAGGCTGAACAAGTTTGTCAAAGGAAGCCTGGGCCTTGTTCTGTGGGTGCAAGAACCTGTAACATAATCTGGGAAATGCATTTGGTTTTTATACAAACATGTGCCCCCTCTCCTGACTTTTTTCAGGAAAGTTACCCCTCTACCAGAGAACTGCTGGCCAAAGGAACCCTTGGGTGGGGAATTGGAAACAACAACAAAACAAAACACCGACCTGGCCTCAACGTGACCTCCGACAATGAGTCCTCAAAAACATAACACTTTACTAATGCTGGGCCAATGTTGGTGGAGAGTAGAGGCCCGTGTGAAGAAGGGGCAGGAGAAAGAGAGCAGTTCTGGGCAGCGTAACTTTGATGCGAGGCTTAAAAACTTTTCTTTACCGAATTTCGAAGGAAACGTGGTTTTATTTTGGCTGATAGAAAAATGAGGAAAGTTGTCGAGGGGGGGAGGCCCAGAAGATCTATGTAAACTGGGTTCGGATGGGGCGCGGGAGGCGGGGGCACTTTTCTTTTATGGCCTCTTATCCCGGGGCCCAGGCCCGCGGCTCCGGGGGAGTTGGAGGAGGTGATTGGCGGCTCACCGGGACTGGGCATTGATGACTGCGGGGCTCTAATCTCCAGGAAACACAAGGGGCTGCCGTGGCCATTTAGGGGTAATTATCCGAGCACGGAGGGATAGCGAATTCCCTGGCCTTTTAACTGGGCGCAATAAAAAGCTGTAGATTAGGGGCGACCAGATTAAGGAAAATGAATTACTTTATTACCCAGACGGCGTCCGGGGTCTGGAGGGAGGGGTCGGGTTGCGGACGCCGAAGAGATCGGAGCCTCACTTCTGACCACAGGGCCTAGAGAAATAGCAAGGCCTGGGGCGGGTTCGGGAATACTCGCTTCTGTGAAATGTCCGGATTTCTTAGGCATCTGAGTCTGCTGAGCAGGCTCTGTGCAGATCTTGGAAGACAAGCTCATTTAGGCCCAGCTGGACGCCGGGTGTTCTGGGTCCACTAAGGTTCGTCCGGTGTGTATGAGAAGTAGAAGCCATGCCACCCGATTTTAAAGCCCAGCAAACGAAAACTAAGCAAGAGGGAAGGCCGAACGTCTAGCGCGAAGCCTAGAGGGGACGGCGAACTTCTGTCGCTGAAGACCTAACTAAGCCGTTGCTAGATCCACTCGTTCAGCAGCTTTAGCCGATTTTCACTCTGCGCTCCTGTTAAAACAGAAGCGGAAATAAATCCCCAAAGTGCCTTTTTTTTTTAGATCAGCGTTTTTAATACGAGAAGTGTTTGTCAAAAGTAGGGGTTTTCAAGTTGTTACGCCGCTGTCCCCAACTCAAATGATTCTCTCCAAGGGGGAGATTGGAGAGTCGATCCAATGTAGCTAAGACCTGCTCCCTGGAAAAATGCACATCGATTAAAACACCTTACACCGATTGTGTAGACAACATCAAGGACTCGTGGACGGGCCCTGAGTCTGAATTTCTGCTTTAGGGTCAAGAAGGCCTCGAGCTCCAACAGTGGGGCCCCAGGGCATTCGGGGGGCTCCAACGGAACTCTCGGCGTGCGCCGAAGTCGAAGCAGAGGCCTAGCCTTAGGCTGGGGAGGGGGGCGGCCTGAGAAGGGCTGCATCGCTAATTGCGGGGATAAACAATCTGTCACGATCCCTCAGCGCGCCTAATAGGCAGACGAGGATGTTGTTTTTAGGCGCCAGCGGCGGCCGGATCAAAGGCTGCAGCCGGCGCAGGGGCCCTTGAAGTCGCGCCCTTGCCTCCAGGGAGCAAACTGCCTGCCCCTCAGTCCTGAGCCCTGAATTCGGCCCCTGGGCTTTTGGAGTACGTCTCAACTCCAGTCTCTTCTTTTTGGGTTCGTTGTGCGTTCGGGTCTGCGGTGATCCGGCCAGCAAGGACTGGCAGGTTGCAAACGTTGCAGGGCTAGAAGAGCGCTTCTGCAGAGCGCAGGGGACCGGACTCAGGCTGGTTGAACTAGCGCAGGACCCCTGCTGGGCTGTGCCAAGAAAAGTGTCCCGTGCCCCTCACCACCACCACCACTGAATCTGAGAAGGGAGTAGGAGAAACTAAATTAAGCCTGTTCCTAGGCGTGTGGCTTAGTCCTGAAGAAAGAAAGGCATTCGTTTGGAATCTATAAGAGATTCCAAACCTCCGAACTCATTTTTGTCTGGCCTTTGCGGATTTCCCGGCCTGTGGGTGCAGCGAGCAGACAGTCTGTTATCTCACGGCAGCGCAAACCCGAGAAGCTGCTGCCTAGGCGCGACAGTGGTAGACAGCTAAGAAAACCGACCGTAATTCATGCCTGGCAAAGGGCAGTGCTGGCCCGCGGCAGATAAAACTCGGGAGACCCTCTGCTAGCAGCCTCGCCTACTCTGGGCTCTCCTCCCCTCCCCCTCGCTCGGCCTCCCTTCGTCTCCTGAACCCTAATGCACTCCTGCTTCCAAAAAAAAAAAAAAAAAATGCCTTTGCAGGTTGCGATTCTAAAGTCCTGCGTTCAGTGCCTGGGCCGCTACACTGATTGGTGGCGTTAACACTGCAGTCCAAAATGTATGTTTTACTGGAGTATAGGTCGGCTGAGGTATGGGTGCGATGCGGTTCCTAGATAGCTTCTTCCCCGTGGTCACAAAATCAACTTGTAGAGGGATTAAATTTTAAAGGTAGCTGTTACTACCTGAGTCTCTTCCTCCACTTGGAGGAACCTGAAAGCTAGCCCTTCAGTAATGCGTTCGTTGTCGCCCCCATTCCATCCGCTTTCCCAGTGCATTTTGTGGCGTCTGCCCAGGAACCCCTCACGCATTTAAAAAAAAAAAAAATGTGCGACTCAGTGGAATCCGACAGCAATTAGGTAGCTCTAAACAGTCTTCTTTAATAGAATGGATGTGCTCTGAAAACCGATTACCCGGAACGCTTTATTTTTGTGGGGATTCACCAATCGCCAGGAAGGCAGCGAAGAGAGAGTGAAGAGAGAGAAGAGGTATTTTGTCTCTGGGTGGGGGTGGGGTCTGATGGTTGGACAGAAAGCCTCGTTCTGGGATCTGCTGACCTCCTGAGAGGCCCTTCCTTCCCTGCCATCGCCGAGTCTCTGTCGCCTTCGAGTGAGGGGCTAGGAGTCATGTTTGAGAAATTGCCTGGGATTCACTCGTTCCTGGAAGATTTCAAAGCTTTCTAAAGACAAGTCCCAGAGTTTAGAACTAGAAAAATCTTCTGCTCCAGGAGGTGCAGAGGTGATAGATATAAAATAAAAATGCTTAGGCTTTCCAAGGATCTTGGTCGAACTGATGCAGTCCTTAGCGCTCGAACTAGTGCTGCAGAAGGAACTCTTCCTGGAAGGTGTTTTATTTTTTCCCTTTCTTGCGAACTCCTCAACTTCTTCAAAGGAAGGGCGCCAGTCCTGCGGATTCACCCAAGAACTAGCTGCTAGAGTCTGCGACTTCTTGTCCCTTCCCGCCCATCCCCCCACTTGCTCAGGATCCCTCTTTCTTGGGCCCCGCTTTCTCGAGTCTTTAAATTCGGGAGGGGTGAGGGGCCAGAATCCGCGGAAGAGGGAGCTCCCTCTTCAAATGGCGCAAATTAATGCGATTGGGACTTGAGGGCGCACTTGGGGAAGATGAAAGCGGAGGCCTGCCGGCTCCTACCAGGACTCTATAATTATAGATAATATATCTCATTTCAAAGCAATTAGACCAATCAGGCGTAACGAACCACTTTGCTGCCTACGAATAACAAAGGCGCACGGTTATTTAAGCCTGGAGATGTCAGGCAGACCCTGAGGCTCCAGGGGCCCGGACCAAGGTCCTCCACCCCAGCTTGGCCCACCGCGGTACGGGAAAGACTACCCTGGATTCCTCTCGCTCTGCCCGCCGCCAACTAAGCGCCTCTCTCGCCTCTTGACTCTGACCGTGCGGGTACGGGTTAGAGGGGCTAAGAGAAACTTGATGTCAGACTTCTGGCTAGAAGTTTTGAAAACTTTAGCTAACTTAATTCTTTCTGCTCTGGGACTTCGGAAATATACGCTCCCTGGCCAGGGCTGATAAGGGAGTATCAGAAAGGAAAAGCGCCTAACTAAGGGTCACACAGCTAGCGGTGGGATCGCTGGGAGCTCCGAACCACTCAAACCTCCACCTTGTCTTTTTCATTAAGAGGAACACCCTCACTTGGGCCCCTCCAAAACTGCATTGATATACTGGGGGTGCCGCTGCGGTACAGGATGGTCCGCCCTCCAAGTTCCGCCCAGATGGGGAGGGAAGATCTTTCACCCTTCAATTACTAACCTTCTCTCTGTCTTCGCTGTCTTCGCTGCCTCCCTCATAAGAAGTCCAGGACACTGTCGAGGTTCCTCAAGTATCTCTTAAATGCTCAGACTTTTTCTTGGGTCTGTTTGAGAAGAAAACAGGCCTGGGTTACAGGTCTTTGTTTGTTTGTTTGTTTTCTAAGATTTGGTTCGTCAACTTGAAGGTGGGCAGAGACAGGCGGGAAGAACAAGCAGGGAGCAGCTCTTGTTCTTCGGAACTCTAACAAAAGATGTCAATGAGAGCCTGAAGAGACGGCTTAGCATTTAAGAAACCTGGCTGACCTTGCAGAGGTCTTAGGGTTCATTCCCAGCACCGCAGGCAACTCACAACCCTCAGTAAAACTCCAGGTCCAGGGAAATCCATCACGTTCAGCTGCCCTCCTCAGGCACCGTACACACACACACACACTGCAGTTACACACATGCCAGCAAAGCATTCACATTAAAAATATCTAAAATGAACACATTAGAAATCAATGATAAGTCTTTTGTTTAAAAATGCAGAGGGAACAGGGAGGTGCTCAGGGCCAGCCTGTGGGCAGCATCCAGAGCTTGAGAGAATTGAGCTGAGTGAAATGGAAGGCAAGTGGGAATGCTGAGGAGTGTAGAATTAGGGTAGAGGAAGCCAGGGAGACTGTGTCACCCAGGGGTGAACCACCACAGAAGGTGGAATACCAGGGGGCCGATATCAGCCTATAGGACTAGGCAGAGTGGGAGCAGTCATTTGAGACTTCAGCACTCACTAAAGTGAGCAGGGGGGCAGGTGAACCCCGCTTTCTTCCCATTTTCTGCTCAGTGGGCCCCAAGGGTTTGGTAGTTCTTCCTGTCTCTGCATGACCCTGAGAATCTGTCTCCAGGTCTCTGGGGGGGGGGGGCTCTGAGCTGGTAGCATGACCCCCTGTGGAGACCCAGCCTCCAAGTCTGACTTCCCTTATCTCCCCTGGCTGTTGGTTCCCTTTTTTCTCCAGCTTCTTTGTTGCTTTCCCTGAACCTCTTGCATTCTGCCCTCACCCGGTGATTCAGTCTGAATCATACCCTTCATAAGCTCAAGAAGCTAATTTGACTCCAGCTGGTTCTTTCTGCAGGAAGCTGGTGAGTTCTGGAAGAACATCAGGCATCCTCCTGAAGAGGCAAAGAGTGCCCTCTCTTTGGATCTCCCATACCTTCTGTTTCTCCCCTGTTGGTTTCCAGCTAGTGATTTTTCCAGACTCTGAACCTCCATTTCCACTACTGAATTAGGGGCCACATACGAGCTTTCCGGTAAGATTCTCCTGGCCACTGAGAAAGGTGGCAAGGGCCATGATAGGCCCGGGAAGTTCCCTCTAGCAGACCAGTACATGACTCCCACTGCCTCAGAAGCTCTGGATAAAATAATCACTGGTGACTGTAGAACATTTGGAAGGTGGCAGAAACTGACAAGACAGTAGGCAGTGTGCCTTTCAGGAGAGGCTGATGGCTCAAGCCCAAGACAGGCACTAGGATCCGATTATAGCTATCCCCTTTGGGCCACACCCTCCTGCTGACAGTTTCTAGCCTTTGGCATCTTACCCTTTGGGTCCAGGAAAGAAAGCCACCTCTCAGGCATTATGCATGGCTCTCCTAGGGCCTTTGTCATCCTTGGACCAAGGGAAGGGCTTTTCATACCTCCTCAGAGCCTTCCTGGGTCAAGCAGTGGTGACAGACTGTGGCTGAGAGCTTCCCAATGTGGTCAGCACTTGGCAGGTTGTCCGTGAACAGTCAGAAAATGGATAGAGAAGAAGTAGGGAAAATAGGGAGGCAGAAAATTAAGCCGAGCAGTCTGCAAGATGCTGTGGGTGAGTCCCTTGACCTACCTACCCCTGGAAGGCCCTGTTCACCATGTCTTCCAGAGCAGCAGCACCCTGACTCTTAACTTGAGGTGGCTCTGAGAAAAGGGTAATTTAGTTCCTGTCGTCTCAGGAAGGTGGAGGAAGTGTTTTGTGACTTTTGCTTTTTCCCAGGTGAGCCCATCAGCCACAAAAGTGGTCTCGGTCAAGTGAAGAGATTGAGGAAGAGATGGGAATGCTCAGTGACCGTCCTGCCCAGGCTTCTCTTTAGGTCGGGCATGGGGTGGGCAGGGAGGGCTTACTAGAAATTTAGCTCAGCTCCCATTTTCCATGAACAGTGAAACCCAGGCTCAAACAACAACCATTTTCCCAGGTCTCCGAGCCATAAAGTAGCAGAACCTGTTAAAATGCGTCTGATCCCCCGACTCCCCATCCTGTGCTCACCTCAATTCGGGAAAGCTCAAGAAACCTGGGTCTCTCTAAGCTAGGTTGTTCCGTGGCGGCTAAGAGGCAGGGAGGATTTCAGTGCAGCCGGAATGGTGGGCGGTACCCTGAAGCACTGACCCTAGCAGATTCAGACCGCATAGGAGGCTGAGCAGTGGACGAAACTGGAATCTTTGAACTAAGGGTGGCAGGGATCTGCTTCCACCTAGCACGGGCTACCAGCTGGGTGCTTTCTTGTGTTTCTACAGAAGATTCCCTAAGAGACCCGCACCATTTTCCACATGGGAAGCCAGGTGATACTGGAGTTGAAGCAGGATTCCAGCATCCAGTCGTGCAGCCGAATTGGCAACCAGACTCGCGAGAGTCCCGGGCGGCTGCCCTCCACCGGCGACTCAGCTTTTCTCCTTCCAGCTCTGCTGAGGCATACACATGCGGAGGGAGGCTCTGTGGAAGTTTCAACAGCCACAGTTAGCCACGGTTAAGTTGTCCCCCGCACCCATCCCGCATACCCGCCAAAAGTGCGCTGTTTGGGAAAGAGAGGTGCAGGTGGGGCTTCCCTAGTCTGGCTGATCCTGGTGCACACTCAAGGTGGGAACCTGAGTCCCGGTAGAGTCCTGCCCATCCCAGGTCCCAGAGTATCGGATTCTGCCCCAAGGTCAGCCTTAAAGTCAAGACTTCAGTAGCCCAGTTGCATCAGCCTGATAGGTCTTTTTCTCCATACCTGTATGAAGAAGCCCTCTTGGAGGATTAGGCAGGAAGGCCGAGAGAGCTCAAGGCCAGCTTGAGAAGCATGGCATCCTATTTCAAAAACAACTAGCAAACAAAACCAAGTAAAGAATAGCTACCACCACTGCCAGTACTATTGACATGTTTTAACTAGTTCAGTTTCAATAGTGACTATTTTTAACCCTACTTTACACACTGGGGGAAAAGTTAAATATTTCATGTATCAATGGAACTTCAAAACAAAACACTGGGAGAAGTTTCCCAGCACCCCAGGGGTTTTGAGTTCATCACTGCAGGGGGACATTCCACTTTGGAGACACCCTTGTCGGCACTGGCCAATAAGCCTGGGGGTCTAGTTTTCTGGTGAAGTTTTCATAGTTCTTGTCTATGTCAGGTGGCCAGCAACAAAACAGCCCACTCCCCAGCATGCCTGAATGAACAGATCAGTATAGACCTTCGTACCAGAGAGGTGTGAGTGGATGACTCCGAGAAGTTACAACCTTCACACCACCTGGGCACTGGAGCAATGCCCTGGGCTAAAACCCTAACCATAGGGTTTTAGGGTTCCCATTTAGGTGGGAACCAGTCCATCTAAATGTGAATCAATATTTTTATTTTATTTTGGATCCCTAGGCTGGTCTCAAACCCTAAAATGTTCCTGCCTTATTCCCTTCAGTGGGTAAATATGTGTGCTGAATCATGTCAATTCACATATCTGTTTCTTTCTTTGTGAAAACACACACACACACACACACTCTCCTATGAGACAGGGTTTCATATATTCCAGGCTGCCCTTCAACTCACCATGTAGCTGAGGTGGTGGGACCTTGAAATCCTGATCCTCCTGCTCCCACATCCCAAATGCTGGGTTTACAGATGCCTGCGCACCACCGTTCGAGGTTTATGCATTGCGGAGATGGAACCCAGACCTCCCTGCATCCTAGGCAAGCACTGAGCTACATCCCCAATGTTCAACTTTTCTTTTAAATTTTTAGATTTTTAAAACTTTGTTATGTGTATGAGTGTTCTGCCTGCATGCATGTCTGTGTACTATGTGTGTGTGTGTGGTGCCGGAGGAGGTCAGACAAAAATCATCAATACCTTGGCCCTGGAGCTGTAGATGGTTGTGAATAGCCATGTGGGTACTGGGAATTGATCTTGGGTCTTCTGCAAGAATAAGAAGTGCTCCTAACCACTGATCCATCTTTCCAGCTCCCATAAATATTTCTCTCTTTTGGCTATTTTTTTTTCTTTTTGGAGACATGGTCTCATTATAAAGCTCTGGTTGTCTTGGCTCTGGCTGTCCTGGAATGTACTATGTAGACTAGGCTAGTTTTGAACTCACAGAGATCTGTCTCCCTCTGCCTCCCAAGTGCTAGGATTAAAGGTGTGTGCCACTACACTGGGTCACAAATATTTCTTGAATGGTATTTTGAAGATAAAGAAGAGCTGTCTCTCTTAGGCTTCTTGCCCCTGTCTGTGAATTTGAATCTAGGTTCTTACATCTGCCAACAGAGAGAAGAAAGCCCTGCTGGTTAGACTGTGCCTTTCGTATAGGCCCAGTAGCTGGCCCTGCCACACTGGCCACTAACTCCGGAAGTACCTCCCAGGCCTTTTTTCTCTGTGTATTTAGAAACAGACAATGAGGATTGATGGGGAAAACAGAGAAGCCAGGACCTGGTGGGGCCTGGAACATTTCTAGAGGGGTGCTGTTATCACAGAAGCTTCCACTCCTGGTGTTCCCAAGCCAGCAAGAAGCAGAATCTAGCAGAGCCCCTCCCTTTTGGGGCACTACAGCCCCTTTTATCTTCTCTGTCCTGCCATGGCTACAGGAATATCCTACCTGACCGGGACACAGCCCATCCCTGCTGAGACTCCAATCTGATCAAATGGTGAACCCCTGGCCACAGTCCAATCAAGTGAAAGTAGATCCAGCCTTATCGGTTTCAGGCGGTAGTCCCTGGGGTGGTCCTGAGGTGGCCCCGAAGGGTCCCTGTCTGTTTGATTTTCCTGCTCAGACACACTTGTTTAAACAGACCCCCAAGGTTTTCAGTAACCAGAGCCAGACCTGGAGTGTGATTGCCAGGTAAGGGAGGCCCTCAGTGAGATGTTGGCTTGGGGAGGGGGGCAGTAGGAGGAGAAAGGACAGAAAGGGGGTTAGAGAAGAAGACAGAGAAGATGCCACCTTCAGAATGCAGAAAATTCCCTGCACTTTGCTCAGTGGGTTCAAATCCTGGTCCCCATCCTTTGGGCTTTGTGTCCTCTGAGAAAACTGTTGAGCTTCCCAACTGCTGCTGCCAGGGTCAAACTGAGGCTAGGATGCAGAGAGGAGACCCCCCAGTTCCCTCTGAGAACAGTCACATGGGGCTAGCCAGGTACCTCTGTATCAACGGGAGCCAGGGACAGCTCCTGGATCCAAAGAGGTAAACTGAGGTAAGCTGGCATGTTCTCTCCCTACCTGCTGCTCCAAATCAACCCATCTCTGAGACAAAATCTGTCCTGTGGGCCTGTCCTGCCCATGTGCTGTATTGGCTCTGTGTGCACAAACCTTCCAAAATGTTTTCCTCATCCCCAGTCCTCACCTCTGTGATCCACCCTCCCCTCTTCCTCCAACGCCACTATCAAGCATGATTCTCCCCCCCCCGCCCCGTCACTCAATAGCGTGGGGTCTCCTTCCTGCTCTAAGATCACCCATGGGCTGTTCCTCAGAAATCCCAGTGCCTCAGGTAGCTTCCAACTTCCTCGCTTCCTTTGGGATCTCTGCTCTTCAGTGTTACTTCTCCAAGAAGGCTTCCCTCATCTTCTAGAACACAGACGCCCACCTTAGCAACCTCCTGCACCTGCTTTATTTTCATGGCTGCTGCTGAGATTGGATGGCTATTAATTATCATTCTTCTTGGCGCTTCGGCTCCCTGGGGAGCTCCTCTTGGCTGAGGCTGTCTCCCCACTCGGCACACAGTAGGTGCTCAATAAAGAGATTCAGATGCTGGAGTGCATTCCCTACACACCGTGACTTGAGGAATGTTGCCAGTCTCTTTCTCTGTGTGTTTCCTCTTCCGACAATGCAGAGCTATGACTTGTCCCACCCTCTACCCCTGTGAGGCGTAAGCTAGAGAAGGTTTGGGAAGAGCTCTGTGTGCAGCCTGGGACCGAAGACGCCTGTGGGACATGGCTGTTTTTTCTAAGGGGACAGTGGACCTTCTAGAAGGAGAGCGAGGTGGCCACAGCATCCTCAGGGCTGAGTCTTTCTGGCACATCAAGGGATTCCACCCCAAATTCATTCCCACCTCTCAAGGACCCTCCAAACTGACTAAATGTACCGGTCTTCTTGTAGGTAATAGAACAAAGGTCAAGGGAGTCACATGACTAGGGAACCCCTTTACATTCCTGGGTTTTTTTCTTTGTTTTATTTTGTTTTGCTTTGTTTATTATGTTGTTTTTTGTGTTTGTGTGTGTGTGTGTGTGTATTTTGAGACAGGGTTTCTCTGCGTAGCCCTAGATGAACTGGAATTCACTCTGTAGACCTGGCTAGCCTTGAACTCATAGAGATCCACGTGCCTCTGTTTTCTGAGTGCTGGGATTAAAGGTGTGTACCAGCCACTACCATCTGGCCACATTCCTGTTCTAACTGGTCCAGTGCTGCTTGGCTGTAACTGACACCCTTGGGCCCTATCCAGGTGCATTCTTTTTTGTTGTTGTTTTGTTTTGTGTTTTGTTTTTTTGAGACAGGGGTTCTCTGTACCTTTGAAGCCTGTCTTGGAACTTGGTATGTAGACCAGGCTGGCCTCGAACTGACAGAGATCCACCAGTTTCTGCCTCCAGAGTGCTGGTATTAAAGGCACGCGCCACCACCACCACCACCACCACCCGGCTCAGGTGCATTCTTTTGGGAGGGTGGCTTCATGACAGAGGCCGTGAAGTTTCCCTCAGGAAGATACTGGGTCAAGGATCACGTGGGTGGAGTAAGACTGAAAGAGTGAGAGAGAGGTCAGGCTGAGTAGGGGTGGGGGTGAGGACAGGGAGGAGCAGGAGCAGAGGCCGAGAGCTTGTGGAGGTTATGTGACAAGTTGTCACTGCATTGGCTCCTTAAAAGGCAGATATGGAAGGTGGCTTTGGTATGACATTCAGATTTTATCCTAATGCAAGGTCTGTCATGAGGATGGGAGACAAACGAAATGGTGTCTCTGAGTCCAGAACCTCCTTGTTTTCTGGAGTATGTCTAGGGTCCCTCATTATCCCATCCAGCTGAGGAGATACCAGGCCTGGGAGGCTGCCATCTATGGAGAGGCGGGAAGGACAGCATTAGCTGCTGACAAGAGACATGACATCTGTACCAAGTACTCTGGAGTCACTAGCTGCTCAATCTCAGGGAACAAATGAAAAGTGATCAAAAGACACGATAAGGGCCTCCCACCGAAGCACCCTGTGTGTCTCTGTCCTAGCCGGGGCAAGCACACATGAGGTGGGCCCTTCACGGAAACCTCCACTTTCTATTAGACGCGGGCCCTGATGGTAGAATCAGGCCTCCCAGTGAGAACTGAAAGTCGGTGCTTGTAACTATGCCACGGAATACATAATCCCATCAACTGTGGTGTGTTTCCCTGCCAGGCTACCATTTGCCCTTCATCTCTAAGTCACCTCTAATGTTGGGGCGGCTCTCATTGTCCCCTGTCCCTGGGAAAACGAACTGGGCGACTTGCAGAAGGGGTGTGTGTGTGTGCGTGTGTATGTGTGCATGTGTGTTTATGTATGCACAGGTGCGCCTGGATGACATTCATACACATGCCAGAGAACAACCTTGGGTGTGGCTGCTATGGCACTGTCATTTATCCTTTGAGACACGTTCTATCCCTGGCCTGGAGCTCACCAAGTAGGCAAGGCTAGGGTGTGTGCCAGTAACAAGTGTGTGCCACCACACCTGGCTTTCTCCAAGGGTTCCGGGGACGGAACTCAGGTCCTTGCGCTTGTGTGATAAACACGTGACCAGCTAAGCCAGCTCTCCTGCCTCAGAGGCTATATACTGCTGAAAGCATCCCTGACTCCTAGGACAACGGGGACAGGTCCCCAAAACGGGCCAGTGTAAAGCAACAGAAATGGATCTTTTATA